TGGAGATAGTCTGGTCTAGCGCCTCCATATGAAAGTTTGCCCCAGCCCGTGATCCAGCATTTGGCCCCGTCAGACGGTTCAGAGACGGAATGTGGAAGACACACCAAATTTACGTACCTGAAGACCGGGAAGCAAAATGCAGCAGAATAGCATAGAGTGAGACGAACCTCTTGCTTAAAGATCACTTAATTACACCAAACTTTCTGATCTGTTGTGCGTTCCTAGGCGGAAATGTTTTCTAAGCAGAAGCGAATTGTTTTAACAAGAGAAGTGATGATAACAATTTTAGCTATTTTAAAGTTTGTAATTTTCTAAAAAAAAGTTATTAGTATTATTGTAAAATAAACATGAAATTATCACAGGTTCTTAATAATGATGGTGATGATGATAACACAGTAAATGGTTTGAACCCAGGAGTATCGGTAGTTCGTATAGTGTGATCGTCCGGGTGAGTGCACCGAACCAGAAATCCGGACGATCACACTATACGAACTGATGATGATGATGATGATAATAACAATGATAATGATAATACAACAATATTATAATTATATTAACAACCGTTGCACATGAAAAGTTTGCATATCAAATAACTTTATGACTGAAGCCCGGGAGAGTACCACATATGGAAAAATAAATCTTGCAATGATATATATATTTTTTTCAAACTTAGTGTGATGTGTCATCAGTCACGTGACCATGGCAAAAAGTACGTTTTATCTCAGTGTGAGAACAGGCATCGAGCAACTAGAAAGTACTTCACGTATTTGAAAGGGTAATGCTTTAGATCATTTAGAAATGGTCAGGTGAAATCTGCCGTCCCACCATTAAGGGGGCCACTCGCATGAGCGAAAAAAACTGGGAGACTATAGGTCTAATCAGGAGTCATAATCGGGGACGGAGACCGTAAGTTTTGGGATCCGCGCGCACCTATGATATGGGACAATTTTGCTATTTTTAGAACAAATTGCGCCACCCTGATAACATATATATTCGCGCGGATCCACGCAAATGTCGTGGGCTCTTGCGTGGATGTTCTCATGCCAAATGGCGAGGGTTGCGACATTCTCTAAATTTTTCACAGCGATGGCAGTGAATAAGGCAGGGAATAAGAATCAGGGAGCTGTACAAGCATGACCGAGGAGTTGAACTAGGGTCTACCGAGAAACAACTCCAACTTAGTGGTCAGAGCGGAAATTGAACCGGCGATCTCCGGATTTCTAGTTCGGTGCACTAACCATTCGGCCACGTTACCTCCACAAGCTTATTTGTAGTTTTATGCTCTGAGCTAATGGAAAAGGTGAGTTTTTCAGGGTCGAAAACAAGACTTCGATTTCGCGCTGTGAATGAATAATGTATGCTCGCGCCAATTGTACGCGTGAGCTTTTGCGTTTGTTCTGACTTAAGAATGTAGCTTATGTAAGAAAACCCGCTACTCTGGTATCGAGTTAATATGCGAGTTTCTTAAAGTGTCCGTACGGCCTACAGCGTTTTTGTGGTTTTGATATCTCTATAACATCTAAAAATGTATTCAAACCGAAAAAATGAATTCCGATGCTTTTTTTGCCATGAAATCAAGCTTTGAATTTCCCGCTTCGGCCACACCCAATGAAGTTGACCGCGTAATGAAAGATTGGTGACGAATGACGTCACTTCAGGAACGTCTCAAATCCCCGCAAGCGTGTGGCAAGAGGAGGGAGACTTTTAAGTCCTGAAACGCTGCTATATTCAAATATATCCAACTTTTTTTTTTTTTTTTTGCTGTTTTATGGAAACGCCGTTAATCTCCAACAGTGTGGCATTTAGAATGGAGTAATGTGAAGCTCTTGTAAAAGAAGCAGAGGAACACAATATAACACAATATCTGTGCCGTTTCATAGCCAGGGAAGATGCAATTTGCGAAATTGCGAGAACCTGGGGAAAAGAAAAAATCACAGAAAAGCCTGACACGTGCTCGCACAAATCGGAGCTCTCTTCGTGACGCCGAGTATGTCAGCTCAACGCAATGGATTTTTTTGTTTTTCGCGTTTCGAGTTGTTTACGGTGTTTACTAGTTGGCGATTAGCCGGGAATCAGATTGGCAAAATAGATTTCCTGGAAGCGTTTTTATTGCCTTTCTTCTAAGAAGTTGACAAATGTTTCATGGGCAGTCGGCAAGATAATGTTGATGGATGGGTTTCTTCGCAAGTCGAGTGGTCTGTCGAAGGTGATTAGACTTCAATTTCGGTTCACCAGTTTAATGTTGCACTTCAGCAGGGCTTATCTTATTGTGGTCTAGACACTGACTAGTCGGTACAAGAGCCATAGCTTTCGTATGGGCGCGCCTGTCATGTTGCTGAACAGGGCTATTCTGATGCGCAAACCCGTGCTCTTGGTCGTTGGAAATCAGATGCCTTTAAGGTTTCTTTGAGGTCAGAGGTACTTTATGCTAATTAACTGCATGATGTGCGTACGTGTTGAAGCATGCAAGTAGATTGGGCTGTTACCTGCTGGACTTCAACAGCACTGTTAATCACAAACTTTTACTTTTGATTCATTGGTTGTGCCTGTTGAGTATGTCGCGGACACTAATAGCCGGACTCATTTGTAGAGGCTCTACTTTAGGGGTTCGTGCTTTAGTTTTTTGCAGCATAGGTCAGACCGGCGCTGCTATGTTATTTTCGTAGGTTTGATTATCATATTTTGTCACCTATTTCGGTTGAGTAATTCACTCTAAATTTATTTTTTTCAACTGCAAGTTTCGTCCTCGGGCCTTTTTAGAAGAAATATCAGTGGCTCTTTTCAAAAACTGAATTTAAAAATCTACAACTTGACACAAAAAATCGTTCATTAATGTGGAGTAATGTACTTTTAAAGTCATCTGAAAAATTCCGCACGTTCTAATCACGAAGCAATGAAGTCACAACCACGAGATTACAAATAGTGTATCTTCCTAAAAATGTTTAGTAACACGCAAGTTTCAGTTGCTTTACGTTATAGCAAAAAAAAAAAAGATATAGCCCTCCACCAAGTCCCCAACTTTTTTCGCTCGTGCGAATAGCCCGCTTAATTATGAGACAGCAGAAGTCTCGTGGCAAATTCTAAATGTTCTAAAAGATTGCCCTTCCAAATATGTGAAGTGCTTTCCAATTATTCAATGCCTGTCCTCACACTGACATAAAACGCACTTTTAGACATGGTCACGTGACTAATGACGTAATCAAACTTAGTTAGTGGAAAATATATATTTCATGGCAAGAAATATTTTCTCATAATGTGGTAACCTCCTGGACTTCAAACTGGCAAAGGTATGTGACATGCAAAGCAAAAACAAATTATTGATTTCATTCAGTGTATCAATGGTCACAAAAGTGCACATCAATAGTGTCCATCAATAGTTAAATGACATCAGTTGATACCAACTATCAGAGACCTGTCATTTTCTCAGTTATTGTATGAATTTTGCTCCAGTTTCGTCTTTCTTTTCTGTTTGTTTTCGGAGAAAAATTTAATTCTATGCTTTTTCTTTGGTAGTTGTCAGTACCACTTTGTCTAAGTTTTCGTCAGTTTATCCAATGTTTTGAACTTTTTGTTTACATGAATCCAAATGAATTCAGTGGCATATCTCTTGCATTTTCTACAGTGTTTTCTGTTGTTAGGCTTTTCTCAGTTTCAGTATGTAATCTAAAATCGTGTGAAGTGTCGCTCGGCATTGCAGAGTTGTTGTTGTTGTTTTTTGGGAATAGTAGCTTTTCGTTCAAGTCTATCCAAGCAAATATCTCTCTCTATGATTCTATTTATGTTTACAAAACTGCATGTGATGTAAGAACGTTATGATGTGAAGTTTGTATGAAATAATTCATATATGAACTGCGGTTGTAGATGAAAGTGAAGAATGATCATCGCAGAAGCCCTGATTTTTTTTTTTTTTT